GTACGATATAGTATGTGTTAGCACCTTCCGGGCGTTTGAAGGTTAATCAGATTCTTCTCGTTAAACTCGAACGTTATAATTCGGTCAAACCTGTTGAATACAATTAATTTTAGTATTTCAAATAAATCATACATAGGCAATCATACATAAATGTTTAATCCAATATATATTTACATAACAATCATAGCTATGTAATTAGTCTCATCTTAACACTTACAATGAGTACTTAATTTGCCATATTTCTATGTTGTTTCAATGATAACGATGCAATGGACACAGTCTACCTGTGCCCAGCGTCACATGTCAGCCCTGGCTGGCCGAGTTTGCTGCGTCAGGCATCTATACACAAACAAGCTCCCCTTACTACCACCCAACACCTCAACCTCCTCTGGGTCTCTCCATCTCTACCATCTCAATACTCTATATGCTGTATACTCATTACTGCTTGCGGTAACAGTATGTATGTTGTGTTGTCAAAGTAAGAGAAACAATTGGTACCCTGCAATTATGCGTAAATGAGCCTGAAATCAGATCAGCAACCTGGGACTTAGTCACAATTTTTGTTCTGCCATATGGCAGCAGGGTCTATCATTAGACAATACATTATGCTTCTAATCCCTGTTTGATAGCTGTCAACTATGCATTTCATTTTAAGGATTTGCCTCCAGTAGCTCCTGTCACAAAACGGCCTTATTTGTATAAGATTTGTATTTTATACTGTAAGTGAATGAGGGTAGAGAAGCAAGTATTTTCCACAGGTATAGTAAAGGAGGTGAGAGAAAGGGAAGAGTAGTCAGAGAAAAACAACAAATATCGATATAATAAATGAACTATTTTAAGAATGAATTACTTCTCGTAGATATGTTATATTGCGTGGGTAATTTAGTGATTTAGGGCTCCACCAGCTTGTCTTTAATTAAATTAGTAATGATAAATATCATATTGAATATACCGGGTATTAATTTAATATTAATAGACCTATCTCTTAATAAACCTATCTCTTAATAGACCTATCTCTATTCAGGGAAAGTCTTATAGCATTTACTGGACTGAAAAATAAACTTACGTTTGGATAAATCATCCTCAACTAACAGCCCATAACGAGTGTTGCATAAAGGCCCGTCCACACGATCGAGCAGTGCCCAACGGGCACGCGCTAAATGCCCGTTATCTGGCAAAATTGGCGGCCAAACCAACGGAGTGCCCGTGCCCGTCGTTGAGCGAAATCATGGTCGGCCTGCCTGGTGGTTTGCTGCCTGATATGGAGCGACGATTCCAGTCCCATAGCTTCCTGTCTATGCATATTATAATTCTAACTTTATTCAATTAATTTTTATGTACTACAAATCTCACCTGCAACTATTCTTCCTTGAGTACTTCATACATGACAAGTTGCAGGTATTATAAGAGACAAACTTTGTTTTGATATCCTCCTTCTATATTGAAGTGACTGTGGTGCACCCAGTTGAAAGATATATGAGCGTTGTCTCTAGACGAGCCTCTGCAGATATACTCTCCCTCATATTGGTATCCTGTTTTTTTTTATATATGGTTCCACTTTCGGTAGAAGTTTGTAAAAGGTGTTGGGGTCCATTTTCATGTAATTGGTGAAGTCTTGCTCATGTCCATCTTGCAGTTCACGTAAAATCGTGGCATGACTTCCCAATACTTTTCTTCGACCTAACCACTCTTTGCACCATTCCCTATTCTGCATTTGGTTCTTCCTTTTGCACGTAGCAACAATTATTATAGTACACAACGCTATGCTCTTCGCTTTAACTGTCCGGCGATTATTCCTGCGACACACCATGGTGATCGTACCGCACCCGCCACTGCCGACCACCTACTAGCTACCGGCGCCCGACTATGACTGCCGCCAACCACCCCGTGTGTACAACAACACACAGGCTTTGCCAGGTAAACGGGCAAAGCCCGCCGGGCACTGCTCGATCGTGTGGACGGGGCTTTAGACTGTCTTTCCCACTGTACAGCACTGTTATAAAAAGATTTTCTAGCCAATAACATTTCTTTTGAGTGACGTCACTGCAGGTACCTATTCTGTGAGTAATTGGACTCAATAAGTGGACGTAATTTCTGTTGAGAAAGGGTTCACTGTTCGCTACACACGGACTGTGCTGGACAAGACACTTGCTGCATCACTAAGGCACACTTCTTCTCATAAGCAGATACAGTTGATAGGGTGAAGGCGGCCATTTTGAACATTTATATTAGACATATATTTATTAACAACTATGTCGTTATTGGTAGTGTTACTCATTCAATATTACGACGAGCTGGAAAATGAATCCAACTGAAGGCGATCATTTGGAAGTTTATTGTAAACTATACTAAACAGTTGTAGCATTTACTCAATAAAACGTCTCATTGGTGTGTAAATCAGTCTTTAACTGTAAAATACCTACAGTTCCGTAACCATTGAGAACTGGACCCATGTTTAAACAACATTTTTGACTGGAAATGCACTTAAAAATAAAAAAAAGGTAATGAGATTGTCATAGGACACTATATATATATATATATATATATATATATATATATATATATATATATATATATATATATATATATATATATATATATATATATATATATATATATATATATATATATATTCATCTTCATGAGTATAGACTTGAAGTAGGATCCAAAAAACGTGGATAAGATAAATCTTGATAAAATCACAGGGAAAAGGCAAACAACGGTGCTCCGTTGTTTCCCTTTCCGTATTTATATATATATATATATATATATATATATATATATATATATATATATATATATATATATATATATATATATATATATATATATATATATATGTAAACTTTATATTTTCCTATATTTTCAGGAAGAGGTTATGACCCACGTGTCTCTGTTACTCCTGCGGGTGAAACAGCCGCCACACCGTTGCTCTCCATGGATGTTAGGGATTCTCAAGAACTTCCAGAGGATGATGATGATGACGACGACGACGAAGATGACGACGATGACGACCCCTGCAGCTTCGAAGAGATCCTCCTTGCAAACAATATATCCCTTGGCTCCACTCCAGACCTGGACCTTGATCATAATTCCAAGTACAACATTGTCTCGGACATTGAAGATGATTATCAAGAGCCACCTACAAAAATTTCCAACGTGCCTTCTTCTCATGAGGAAGACGTCGGCAGACTGGGCAGCCCTAGGAGTCGCCGTCCCTTCCACCGTACAGATTATAGTCGAGTGTCAGATCTATCCTTCCTCTCTGCCCTCGAGGAGGATGGAGTGGACGATTCCCTCTCTGAACTTCAGGATTCTGATTACGACCCAACAGAAAAACCCAGTGACCAACAAACTGCCACACTCATTCAGACGTCACTCTCAGAAGTGTTCTTATAGTCTTGTAACATAAACTTTGTATCATTCTATGAGTATTCAGAAGCTTTACGAAAACAATCATTATTTAAGATTACATTATGCCATTTGAATAAGACATTCATTTATGGGAGAGTGAACCATGTTGAATGGCTTTAGAGAACTTGGTGTTGCGTGGGATTTTTTCTTCATGAACTGGTGCTGTGTTTGACCAAAACCTCTTCTATGGACTTCCGCTGTCACTGATCGAACAAAGTGGTTAGTATTACGTTTAGTCATCAGAACCAGTGATCGAGTGCCACATGAGGCATGAACTGCGAATGAAGATAATCAGTTTTGTATAAGAGGCTATTTAGTAGCAAATCTTTTGTGTAAGCATCCTTCAGGGAATCGTGTAATGCGAAGAGCACACGTTGATGGAACATACGTCGGTGCCTTGTGGTCCAGTGTCGGGTTGTACACTCATCATAGATGTATTCCTTTTGTATTTTCTGACTGGATACTAAGGTCTGACATATGAATTTCAGATTTACTACTTTGATACATTGTTCCTGCATTTATAAAATGCATATTTGTAGATATAAATAAGTGATAGATCTTGCTGCTAGGCGAAAAGTAGATTAAATGAGTTATTCTTTGCTTGGAGAAAAGTATTTGTTTTAAGATATGAATGTTTAAACTAACATTGGAATATTTTGGGCAGTTCATCAGTTTGATCTGACAGTTTGTCTACACATTTTGGACAGAAGAAACCCAACTTTTCATTCTAGTTTCCACATATTGTGAAGCTAAATACATGACATACATGACAGAAGAAACTCATCGCAGGCCTCCCACCACTTTGTTATAATGGCATAAATGTTTTCCTGTTGGCTTTAGTCGATGTGGTCAGTGGCCCCTTGATGTGAGAAAGGTTTATTGATTAGGAAATGCCACATGCCGCGTCCTTCTTTCTCATGCGTGTTGTCATAATGTGTATATGAAATTAATCAGCTGTAAAGATAGAGCTTACATATGTAAATTCATACTACATTTTTGCATTGGACAAACAATGCTCAGTACATATATCTTCAGTCATGCTTAATGGTATTTATGAGCTGTTGGTTTCATATCAACCCTAAGTGTTAATTTTGATGTCAACAGAGAAAATATATATTGTTGGACAATTCAGGGAGTGGTTGACATAGTAAAAGACAAGATATTGGTGTGAGTGTCATGGAGTACTGTATATGTAACGCACATCTTGCATCACGGTGCTGTCCTCCGCAACATTTTATAACTCTTGATAATACTGCATTTCCTCTGGACTAGTCATTATTGATACAGAGTAGAAAAAGTGCCTATAAGACAGATCTTAACAATTATTGAAGGATAATCCATACATATTTGACCACTCAGTCTTATTTTACGTGATGTATTATTTTAAACTATACAAAATATGACCAGCATGGAATATTATTTGCAATGATTTGTCAGATTGTGAGGTATTTAAAAATTAACCAATCCTAAAAATATGTAATGTGAAATTTCTTATGTATTCAAATTTGCGTTAAGAGTGGCGAAGGTTACCATGGATTATTCTAACATTAGTTCAGGTGGCTTTACAGTGTTTTGGAGAAATAACAGTAAATGACTGATAGCTTATTTGTATACTAAACTTTAGTACTAAATATTTTATGTGTTGTATCATTTATATTCATATTCAAAGAAAATGTAAAATTAGAATGATTGGCAACTTAAATGACTGAGAATGGTGTCATATAAAAAGGTATTTTTGTAAAAAGAAATTGTGTAAATAAAGTTGTTGTCCCAGAAAGATATACATATATATTTTTTTTCCTACTGAAAGACTCGCCTCCATTACAAGTTAATAATAAGTTGTGCAGAGTTTCCATCACCCTAAAAGTGACAGCGAGCTTTGAGACTTATTATTTTGACCAATATTACCAATGCTCTTCACGGTGTGTCTAAAAGAGCTGCACCAATCTCAGTGAAATTTTGTGGGACGATGCAACCTAACGAGACACTGAAAAAAAAAAATTCCGTCTGGAGTGTAAGCTCTTATATTGGTACAAATATTTTGAGTATATTTCACGAGGATGTGTGACCATCAGTGATGATTACTAAAATCCTGTATATTTACTGAGGAAAAGTACACGGAAAGGTGTGCGAGGTTACAAGTGACTGAATTATTACTAACCACAATACCCAAATCATGTGTTAATACTGAAGATTAAAGGTAATAAAATTATTCTGATAATAACATTTGTATCTATACTGATATTTTGATGACAAACTATTCATAAGGATGTACTGTCCCATCACTACGCCGAGTTTAAAGTCCTGTATAATAAAATTTTTGTGACAAAGTTGACGATTACTGGCAGTTCATAGATCAAAAACTTTTCCTGAAGATAACACCAAATTTAGAGGATACTGCTGAAGGTCAAGCACCAAAATCACGTCTGGAATATAACATTTGGATTCATGTATGCCGATGCACATTTCTTCTATAAATTTCAAATTAATATTTATCGTCACTAGTGAAAGTAAGGATCAAATAAATACAGGTTGTGTGCTGACCTCGATAGAAGAAAGGTCACAGCCGATTTAGCTCCCGGGATTAACTGACAATGGCCAGTGTTAGTTGTGAACAACTCTGTGCCCTTCTGAGGGCCGAGTTAGTGAAGGTCAAGGACGAAAACTTAAAATTAAAGGAAGTGATTGCGAGGATGAAGGAAGAAGACACGAGACAAGGAAAGTCTGACGAAAGCACAGGCCAGTGGTATTGGTATTGATACTGAAACAGTTTATTTAGCCATATTAACATGGCTCAGCCAGTTGAGAGCCTGAACTCTCTTCGTGGCACTGTACATTTATCTCAAGGAAGTATTACATAACACTTAGTATCATATGGAAAAGTTCACGTAACATGGTAGTAGTAATAACATATCAGAATGTTACCACGGTTATCACTTTGTTACTTATTTTATTTTTTCATTTATATTATAAGTATATACTGCACATATTTTACAATGGTGTTGATATACATGAATATGATAAGGAAGGGAAGCAGTACAACATGGGTTGTATTAAGGTGGAGCAAGATGACAGAGCTCTCAGTATCATGTCTAGTAGGCAAATATAATTATTGCAATGGTAATTTCTATCTATCTACATGACAATCTATGTTATAATGGTTTTGGTGGTACAATAAATGCAGGAATATAAAGTAGGTATTACAAGAATATTAATACTTAGACAATAGATATTTTGTAAGAGATGGGTGGGGGGTAAGTTGTTCCACATCTTCACACCTTGATATTTTATGGAGGTTTCGGACTGAGAGGAGCGCATGGTGGTCTTAGTAGCTCTGGGTGCCTTAAGTTGTATCTCTGATTACTCCGGCACTGGAAATAATTTTATCAATCAAATGATTGACAGATTTGAAAACAAATTGTTCGTTAGTGTCATCAGCTTCTTCAAGTAGGTCATTGTCCGCACAACTCTCTTCTGTGCAGTAATCAAGGGTTGTGTTCTGAAGAGCCAGAGGTCCACCCATAGTGTGTGACAGTGTATCGAGTGTTGGTAAACAAGATCATAATATATTTCTTTCATTGCTGCAAGAGTAAGTGACTGACGCGTGTGATACAGGAGTCGGCACTGTTTATTGACTTTACTGTGAATGGTTTATTTGTGGTTTCTCCAGTTAAGTTTCTCATCATCAACAACCCCAAGGAATTTAGTATTATGTTTACGTTTGAGGACTGTATTACCAAGGTACAGGGGTTCCAAATCTGGGGGTAGGTTTTTTCCTTCTGTGAAAGATTGTGTAGTGTTTTTTTTTTTCGAGGTTTAAGGTCAGTTTATTATGTATTACCCAGGTTCTACTTTAGTCAATTCAGTGTTCATAGTTCTCATCAAGGAATAAAGATCTGAGTTGCTGGCATAGAGATTACTATCGTCTGCAAATAAGTTGTATTTTATGAGTGTGCTGGAGTGGACTATATCGTTTATGTACAATAAGAACAGTACTGGACGGAGAATGGAGCCTTGAAAGGTTGTGAGAAAAGGAACGACCAAACTGGTGGTGAAGAAAAACCGGGAAACGAATGCAGCTAAGTGTACTAACGTTTTTGTCCATTAGTAGACGAATTAGACGGGAACATAGTCAAAGAGAGGGCTGAAAAGGAAGGTACGGAAACCTTAATTGTTGATGATTCCCAGGTACGGTACCTGGATAGAACCTTCTATGCCAAAAATTGAAATTGGAAGAGGGTGTGTTTGCCAGGATCTTGGGTGGAGGATATAGTTAAAAGGATGGACAATATCTTGTCTGGTAATGGGTAAAACCCGTTATCTTCCTCAGGGCAGGAGGCAACGATATTGGCCGGTGTAGGAGTGAGGAGCTCCTTTATAAGTTCAAGGCAGCTATCAAACGTATTAGGGTGAAGGGAGGGTTCACTATCATATGTGGTGTCCTGCCTTGGAGGAGAGTTGGCAATGAATGGTTGTCAAGGGCAGTTGTGTCAACGGCCGTTTTCACAGATACTGTAATTCAATACCAGTCCCATTCATTGACAGCGGATACAACTTTTACGGCAAAAGGAACCTTTATGCTAGGGATGGGGCAGAAACCCTGGCTGGCTCTCTCAAGAGGTCAGTTCAAAAGATGTCAAAGTTTTTAAACTGCTATGGGAACATATGAGCACGGGAATCGAGGAGACTGAAGTGGGAGTGGGGAAACAAAGTGAAAGGTTACAGAGAAACAGTGTGAGGAATCATGACAAAACTAAATTAGGCAGATAATTATTACCTAAACGCGAGAAAGGGAGGACTCATATCATGACTAACTTAAATGTTTACAATGCAAACAGTAGAAGTATGAGGAATAGTATGGATGAAATCAGAGTCTTGGTATGTACCGAAAAAAATCTATATAATAGCATTCAACTAAACGTGGATAAACCTAGATTCACGTGATATACCGGTTGAATACCAAATTAAAGGTTACAAATTATTTCATACCGATAGGCAGATTAGGAAAGGAGGCGCGGTAACAATCTATGTCAGGGATAATCTGAAGTGTGAAATAATAATAATAGAATAAAAACTGAACTGATTACAGAAACAATTTGGATAGAATTAACAGATGGTAAGGGAGAAATTAATCATAGGAGTAATATATAGACCTCCTAATCCTGATAGAGTTAATGAGCGACTTATTTGGGATGAAATGCGAAGGGCTTACAGGCATAGCAAAGTCTGTATGGAAGGCGACTTTAACTTTAGTCAAATAGATTGGATCGACCTTACGGGTAGCTCAGAATCAGAGGATTTTCTTGAAACAGTTCAGCCGCAAGGAAAATTCCATTAAAGTCCTAGATTTCAGAAGGGCAAACTTTGATAGTTTGGAAAAGCAGCTGAGAGAAGGGGTATCACGTTTGGGAGTGAGTTACATGACCTCACATGAGATAACCTCACACAATGTACCCACAGAGGACGACCTCACCATACCTGGAGACCTGACGGTTGAGGATGACCTGATCACGAGATCTGAGATTGACTAGTTCCACAACTATTTAAATAGTTACTTTATGCACAAAGGCAAAAAATACCTTACAGAAAACTCGGAATAAACCCTAATAATCCGCCAACCGAAAGTTTGGGACCCTGTCCATATTGTCGTTGTTTTTCGTTTCCCAAATTCGGGTGAAACTGATTTCTCTGTGATCACTGTTACCTAGTTCTTCCCCTACTGTGATATCTCTGATAATATTTTATTTATTTGTTAATACTAGGTCTAAAATATTGTCACCTCTAGTATTTTCTGTAATTAGTTGTTTAAATTTTTTTTCCTGTACTGCGTCTAGGAAGTCTTCAGATTCATAGTCACCTACAATGTTGTCCCAGTCAATATTTCTGAAGTTGAAATCCCCCATAATGCACAGGTTGTTATATTTTGCTGCCCTACTCATTTCCTGCCATATGGGCTGAGCTGCTTCTTTCCCAAGACTTGAAGGCCTGTAAATCACTCCCATAACTAGTTTTTCTCTTCCTTCCGGGATTTCTACCCATACAGACTCGGTTCCTATTTCACCCTTTATTGAAATATTAATACAACATTTTAATGTATCCTTGACGAAGAGTGCGACCCCTCCCCTCTTCCTACCTTCCCTGTCCTTGTGAAAAAGGTTGTACCCGTCTATGTGGTACTCTGATAAAAATATTTTGCTCGCCAGATTCATCCAAGTTTCGGTGATTGCTATGACGTCTAAATTCTCGGTACATACAACCACTCTCAGCAAGTCTATTTTATTTCTAATGCTCCTACTGTTTGTATATTATACATTTAAACCTACCCTTCCCTGGTCCTGTTTTACCCCTTGTCCTGAGTAACCAATTTTACTTCCCAGGACCTGCTTGTTTTTTTACTCCCACTTTCCCCGACCTCTCTCTACGTGTGTGTTGGTGTGGGGATTAGTGGATGACATATTATGACCTGACCCCATGTTTAATAAGGTCACCTTGTATATTTAAGCCTCTCTCTTTCTATGTAATCCAGTTGCATCTGAAGATTAGGAAAGGAGGCGGAGTAGCAATCTATGTCAGGGATAATCTGAAGTGTGAAATAAATAAAGAAATAAAAAGTGAGCGGAATGCAGAAACAATTTGGATAGAATTAATCGACGGTAGGGAAAAATTAATCACAGGAGTAATATATAGACCTCCCAATCATGATAGAGTTAATGAGCGACATATCTGGGATGAAATGCGCAGGGCTTCCATACACAACAAAGTCTGTATAGTAGGCGGCTTTAACCTTGGCCAAATAGATTGGACTGACCTTACGGGTAACTCTGAATCAGGGGATTTTCTTGAAACAATCCAGGACTGTTTCCTAAGTCAACATATAACCGAACCCACCCGGGGTAATAATATACTCGATTTAGTTCTGTCGAACAGAGAAAACCTCATTAGTCATGTCGAGGTAGGGAACGAACTTGCAAACAGTGATCACAAAGAAATTAGATTCCAGTTAGATTTTCAGGGCAGCCGTAAGGAAAACTCCACAAAAGTCCCAGATTTCAGAAGGGCAAACTTTGATAGTTTGAAGAGGCAGTTGAGAGAAGGGGTATCACGCTTAGGGGTGAACTACTTGGACCTGATGATTGAAACCGACCTGATAACGAGATCTGAGGTTGCCGAGTTTCACAACAAATTAAGTAATGAGTTACTTAATGCAAAAAGGCAGAACATACCATACAAAAAACTCAGATCAAACAACAATGACGCTAAATGGGTAAATAATTATTTAAAGAGCATTATTGGTCAAAGGAAAGCTATAGGCAGGAGGATAAATCGTGGCGAAATTTACCGTCGGGATTATTATAAGGTATTGGCCGGTAGGGTTAAGACTGAGATAAGGAAAGCAAAGAGGAATAATGAGCTGAGGATAGCAAGGGAGGCGATGACAAACCCCAAGGGATTCTATCAAATGTATCAAACTAAAACACGAGAAAAGATTGGACCAATACAGTCACATACCGGCGAGCTAACTGATAAGGACGGAGAAATAAGCAATAATCTGAATAAATATTTTTCAACAGTTTTCACCACCGAAAATTTAAACATGATACCATAGGCACCGACTCTATTCAGAGATAGTGAAGAAAACAAATTAAGTGAGATAGTAGTGATTAGTAACGATGTTAATAAGCAAATAGACAAACTAAAGCCTAATAAGTCGCCTGGTCCCGATGAGATATTTGCCAGAGTATTAAAGGAATGTAAGGAAGAGCTTAGGATGCCCTTAGCAAAGTTGTTTAACATGTCCTTAAAAACAGGTGTAGTACCAGAATCCTGGAGGATAGCGAATGTAATACCGATTTTCAAGGAGGGGGATAGATCACTATCCTCTAACTACTGTCCAATCAGTCTAACATCAATTGTAGGCAAATTACTGGAATCAATCATTTCAAACCGCATTCGAAACCACCTGGAGAAGCACAAATTCATCAATGATTCCCAGCATGGCTTCACAAGCAGGCGTTCATGTCTAACTAATCTATTAACATTCTTTTCATCAGTTTTCGAATCGGTGGACGAGGGGCACAATGATGATGTGGTATATCTCGACTTTAGCAAAGCCTTCGACAGAGTCCCCCACGAAAGACTAATAAGAAAAGTAGAAGCACATGGCATTAAAGGTAATATTCTAAAATTGATTAGGGCGTGGTTACAGGACAGGAAACAGGGAGTGAGCATTAACGGCACTAAATCCCATTAGAGGAACGTCACTAGTGGAGTTCCCCTAGGTTCAGTACTTGGACCATTATTATTTATTATATACATAAACGACAAAGATATTGGCATAGACAGCAACATAAGAAAATTTGCTGATGACACTAAAATAGGACGTGTAATTAGATCTGACGAGGACTCCGCAAAACTACAGGAAGATCTAAACAAATTTTTCGAATGGTCTGAAAAATGGCAGATGAAATTCAATGCGGACTAATGCAAAGTACTCAGTATAGGAGAAGTAAACAGTGAAACCAGTTACTAGATGAACAACGATGCCATTGAGAAATCTGACTGCGAGAGAGAAATTTAGGAGTAATGATAAGTAGGAATCTTAAGCCAAGTAAACAATGTGTTTTTGCTCGTAACAAGGCTAATAAAGTACTTGGGTTCATACAAAGGAGTGTCAGTTGCAAGACTAGCGAGGTCATGTTAAGATTATATCTTGCGCTTGTTAGACCTCACCTGGATTACGGAATTCACTTCTGGTCACCGTATTACAGAATGGATATAGAATCCTCGGAAAGAATTCAGAGGAGAATGACAAGACTAATCCCAGGCATTAGGAACCTTGAGTACAGAGACAGGTTAAAGCATCTTAATTTGCACTCCCTCGAGAGACGTAGAGCGAGGGGTGACATGATAGAGGTGTATAAATGGAAGTCAGAGCTAATCAAAGGGGACATTAAAAAGGTACTCAAACTATCCAACCAGGAGCAAACTCGTAACAATGGTTTTAAATTAGAAAAATTTAGATTTAGGCGCGAAATTGGTAATCACTGGTCTGGAAACAGAGTAGTGGATGACTGGAACAAGTTACCAAATATCATCATTAACTCGAATACGCTGGATATCTTCAAACATAGGTTGGATGCTTATATGAGTAATAGGGGTTGGGTGTAAATGGGACTGCGCAGTATGGGCCACTAGGCCTGCTGCAGTTTCCTCCATTCTTATGTTCTTATTTTCTTTTAATAAAGACGAAAGCTAAGGTGCTCCGTAGTTTCCCTTTTCCACGTGTGATTTTATCAATACATATATATATTTGTGTATAGGTGTGGATATAGACTGAGATATAAATTAATATAATGAGATACAGAGTTAGTGTTTACAATTTAAAAAACATGCACCACTTCCGAGAATCACCGCTCACTCGCCCCCACCATTACTCATACCTACAGGTGTGATTCACTTGCTTCCAACACGACACTTCAGTTATATAGCACCTGCAGTCGAGGGTATACCACAGAGGCGGTCGTCTGTCCATTGCGTTGATCTGAACCATTTGAACAACTGAAAGTCCATTTCCCAGTTATATCTCTGAAGGTAAGTGAAGGCATGATCGTTGTATTCGAAGTTTGTGTAAAACTGTTGTGTCCATGACGGAATTTTGCAGATGTTTGGTGCATCAGATGAGTTACAGTTAATTATTAGAACATTTTGTTGAAAAGCGTATATGAAGACTAAGAGGGACAATGAGTTGAGTACTTCCTGTTTGTTAAGTACAATGCATGGTCAGTGAATTTGCTTAGCGTCTCCCATAACCCCCAAACCCCGAGGCACAGCTGGCGTCTTTAACTGACCAATCACCGGAATGAAATAAAAGCAATGATGTCAACGACAAGGAAACTTTCTCGAAATGATGAATATATGCTATTCTTTCTCCCACTTCATGAGAAGGCATTATAAAAGTCATCCGTTGTCAATTCCTAAAGACATTTACTCAGCCTAACAATCTCAGCCTAAATATTTAGAAACTTTTTAATTCGAATATTGAGTATTTTAGGAATTGAGTATTTTATCCCGGCTAACACCAGGGCTTCGATAAATGTGTTGCTGATGGAGAGCAACTTTGGATTACCACAGTGTACTTATACCTCTCATGTACTATGATAATGTTTTCCTTAGCACCAAAAGTTAAAACCTTGTCTTTACGTTGGAGATAAATTTGGTACAGGTTTCACCAGCCATTTCCTCGATGGATGACTATAATATTTCAACAGCAATAATGCAAATATCTGAATTATATATATATATATATATATATATATATATATATATATATATATATATATATATATATATATATATATATATATATATATATATATATATATATATATATATATATATATATGTAATATTGAGAAATTTCAGTGTAATTTCTAATGCCGCGCCATTGGCGATACTGAGCTTTCAAGGTCGTCGGAGGGAAGAGAGCGCTTCCTGCACATAGCGAGAGGTTGTGCAACTAGGCCTAAGTGATATTAAATATAATTTGCCGAATTAATAATGATGCGATTCATGAAGTTAAGGGACTATTATTGAATTTAAAATTATTATAGATCGTTTATCAGTCTTAATAATGTTACGGGTGTCCCAAGGAGTTATTAGTTAGGCGGAAAATATGTCACGTAGGCCTAAGCTGACGACTTGAGAGGACACAGGCGGGCTCTCTCTCAGTCACGGGGAAGCATTCCGACAAACAAGACGTCCCTGCGCGTCCGTCACAGAAATAGTCACGTGGCCTAGTCACCTGTGTTCCGCTATTGCAGCATAACAAGTAAGTCTCATTCGATCTCAGACAGGGTTTAGATAGGGCAGTGATAAAATTAACAAGAGCTAACAGTGAGTTCATTTCAGGGTTCCGTCAGAACCCACTTGACTGCCGGAAATTGACTGCCAGAGATTGACTGCCGTTTGAGACTGCCGTTGATATATATATATATATATATAACAAAGAAGTATGTCTGTGCGTTTGTGTGGCCGCACGAGAATCTCGGAAACTACTTTACCGATCTGTATGGATGATGGATGGTGCTATATGTAGTGATGACGGATGATGTTATATGTAGTGATGATGGGTGGTGTTATATGTAGTGATGATTAGACAATAAAATAATAACAGTTTAATGCTAAAAAAATCTTTACATACTTGCTGCTAATGGCAATACCAAAAATGTGGTCTACCCTAATGCACTAAAGTGAGACAAAGTGGAGCCTCCCGGAGGGTGGCGACCTACCGTGGCATTACGATGGTCATTGGTGGAGACTTTCGCCAGACCCTACCTGTCATTTCTCGAAGCACTCCAGCTAATGAACTGAATGCGTGCCTCATGGCATCATACCTTTGGAAAAGTGTTGAGACACTCACCCTTCCCACAAACATGAGAGTATGTCTACAAGGAGATCAGGATGCTGGACGGTTTGCAAACCTTTCACTACAGACTGGGAATGGAACTTTCCCTGTTGATTCAGAAGGACAAATAATAATTCCTCATGGATGTGGAAATGTTGTAAAGTCCTCAACTGAGCTCACTAACATGGTTTACCCAAACATCCACCACTACAAGGATCACAAGTGGCTGCGTGAACGCGCAATTCTGGCACCAAAGAATGAAACAGTGGCTGAAATCAACATGACTACTCAGACAGCTTCCAGGCAGTGAGACCTCATTCAAGTCTGTTGATACAGTAATCGCCCAGGATCAAGCAGTTCACTACCCAGCAGAATTCCTTAATTCTTTGGAGCCCACTGGAATGCCTCCTCACCACCTCATTCTTAAGATTGGAACTCCTATAAATGCTCTTAAGAAATCTTGAACCACCAAACCTCTGCCATGAGCTTTGCCATGACCATCTACAAAAGCCAGGGACAGAGTCTAAAGATGGTTGGCCTAAACCTGGTGTTTCCTTGCTTCTTTCATGGACAGTTCTATGTTGGATGCTCCAGAGTGGGAACTGGCAAAAATCTGTACATACCTGCTGCTAATGGCAAAACCAAAAATGTGGTCTATCCTAATGCACTACAGTGAAAGAATGTGGAGCTTCATGGAGGGTGGCGTCTTTCCGTGTGTGTCCGCACGAGAATCTCGGAAACTACTTTACCGATCTGTAGTGATGATGGATGGTGTTATATGTAGTAATGATGGATGGTGTTATATGTAGTGATGATGGATGGTGTTATATGTAGTGATGATGGATGATGTTATATGTAGTGATGATGGATGGTGTTATATGTAGTGATGATGGATGATGTTATATGTAGTGATGATGGATGGTGTTATATGTAGTGATGATGGATGATGTTATACAGTATGTAGTGATGATGGGTGGTATTATATGTAGTGATGATTAGACAATAAAATAATAACAGTTTAATGCTAAAAAAATACACTTTGCTGTACTGTTGTAGTGAAAAACATGGTGGAAGTTACATACACCGTTAATGAACTATTGATGGAAGAAGAAGTTTTGAGGACTGAACAGTGAGACAATGTGGAGCCTCCCGGAGGGTGGCGTCCTACCGTGGCCTAGCGAATGAGCCACCCGGAGCGCAGCGTTTCTGCTAGTATATATATATATATATATATATATATATATATATATATATATATATATATATATATATATATATATATATATATATATATTTATATATAATAATAATAAAGAATTACAAAAATGAAAAAAGATCAAAAGTAAGATACAATATATGTATGTCGTGTTGTCAATAGTAAGTGAAACAATTGAGATCCCGCAATTGTGTGTAAATGAAGCAGAAAGTCAGATCAGCAACCTGAGACTTGGTCATAATTTTTGTGATGCATATGGCAGCAGAGTCTACCATAGACAACACATTATGCTTCCAATATCTTCCCAGGCGGTAGTACCTCCCTGTTTGGTAGCTGCCTACTACCTACTACCTACCATGCTACCTCAGGAAATGGAGATTACGATATCTTAATCTTGAGCAATTATATATATATATATATAGATATATATATATATATATATATATATATATATATATATATATATATATATATATATATATATATATATATATATATAAGTGTGTAATTATACTGTATATGGAAGTATTAAATAAGTCTATGAATTTATATAATATGAAGATGTATGCTGTACGTATATTCATTCTGTATGAGTCACCGTTGCAAGAGAGGTTTTCTATCAAACAAATATGAAAGCTGTATATCCTTTGTAATAATTACTGTAGTTTATTTTTTCATTGCATATGAATTCTATTGGTTCTCTAAGACTTCTAATATTTAGTAATCATATAATATTATGTACTAATACGAAGAAGTTTTGATTTATGAATAGTCTATTTGTTAAGATGTACTGTATTTGGTTTACGTTTGGTCCCGAGTGTCATCATCCAGGGTATTATAACACAGAAATGTGAGGTCAGGGAAGTGGCTGTTATCTTATTTCATCCATGTTCACTATGGTTTGGCATTAGTTTACCCACTAGTATTATGAGTTATTAGGAGATACTTATGAAAACGGAGAAAAAACAGTATTATAGGATTAATGTGTTAATTAAGGTGTTAATTAAAGTGTTAATTGTTTTAACTTAGTATTTCTTTGGTTCCTATTTCACTTTGCACAATTTAATGAATTGTTTGCTTGGATGTGACGTAACAATGGAATTGTACTAAATGGCATCCTCGATTGTCAGGGGGAGGTAGCAAGGGATTGTGTACAAACATGATTGTGGTCTGTTAACTAAAGCTGCTATTTCAGAATACTCTAAAGTCTGATCAATGGGCCTAGGGGTTCAGTCACTGCTGAGAAGAGATTTGTGCAGTAGTGGTCGTGAAACTGTTGAAGTATGGCACAAGAATTTGAATACCTTGAAATTACTGAAAGAAATATGTTTTTTTGCCTTTTTATTAAAATCTAGAATGTTCCTAAACTATAAATGTTGTTTAAATTTTTGTTACTTCAACTTTTTAATCCCTTCCTCCTTGTCCATCAACCTTTGCTTGCATACTGTTCTTTTGGTTCCTCGTTAATGCGGATATCCCAGGACCTACTGTATTAGATTAACTAGTACTATTACTTCACCAGGTGTCACATTACTACCGCCTGACTGTCCAGTATGATGATTACAAAAGTGTTGGTGCTGATGATGGTCATGGGATTGAGTGGAGGCGTGCCAGTTGATAAGAATATTTCATCGAATACAATCATCGGCATTGGCGTTCGCGTCGATAGTGATCTGGACTTAGACGAATATCATCAGAACCGTTTCTTCTTTATCCCTTTTTTCAACATCGGATGTGGACCCATGAAGAGGATCACCTTGGTCCCAGGCGGCAACACCATTGTGAAATCTCCTCGCTACCTTCTTTATTTTTCCACTAGAACGAGGTAAGACCAGCTTCTCTCACTCACTATCTCTTATACAGCATTATGATTAAAAAAAATGTAACATGTATTAATGGAATTTTCTATCGGAATTTGACAAGAAAATTCTCTCTCTCTCTCTCTCTCTCTCTCTCTCTCTCTCTCTCTCTCTCTCTCCACCCACCAGGTCGCCACACAAAACCACCGCCATAAAACATGCTCACACATATTCTCAATCCCACACAGGTGCCAATGGGAGATCTCCTGTGCTCCTAGAAACACGACTTACCTGAAATTTGATTGTCCAACTTTCTCCCTGGAACCTTCAGAGAATTGTGTCAACGATCGTTTAATAGTAACATACAAAGGCAACAGGACGTTGTAAGTATTTGATATCTGAGTGTGTTTGTGTTCTACAGGAGGTGTGTCCTTGATCTGCTTTTTGGACCGAGTTATGAGCAGTGAACCATTGTTGGTGTCGTTATTGAACTTTCAGTTTGTTTACTTTTGTAATTACTGAGACTATTTGTTTGTTTTAGTTGTTTATTATGTATTCATCTTTTTTCTCATCAATTGCTTTTTTATTATGTTCTGTACTTCTTGTTATTATAATCAATATAGTTATTATCGTCATTAATATCGTTAATATTGCTTGTAATAATAATAATACTAATAATAACAATATTAATAACAATAATAATAATAATAATTATATTTATTATTATTATTATTATTATTATTATTATTATTATTATTATTATTATTATTATTATTATTATTATTATTATTACAAGTGATTGTGGTCATTTCTTGCCCGGCGGCGAGTCCGGTGGTACAGTTTACAGAGGCATGAAAGTTCGAACGCTCGTGCTTGGCTAGCGCTCAACCATCGTCCGGCTGACAGCGTACAGCGACATCGTTTTCTAGATGGTCGTGTTTGTTTATATCATGGTCGTGGTTGTTATAATCATAGTCGTGGTTATGATCATAGTCGTGGTTGTTATAATCATGGTCGTGGTTGATCTAATCATGGTCGTTAGTGTTATAATCATGGTCGTCGTTGTTATAATCATGTTAGTGGTTGTTATAATCATAGTCGTGGTTGATATAATCATGGTCGTGAGTGTTATAATCATGGTCGTGGTTGTTATAATCATGTTAGTGGTTGTTATAATCATGGTCGTGGTTGTTATAATCATAGTCGTGGTTATGATCATAGTCGTGGTTGTTATAATCATAGTCGTGGTTGATATAATCATGGTCGTGAGTGTTATAATCATGGTCGTGGATTTTATAATCATAGTCGTGGTTGTTATTTTCATGGTCGTGGTTGCTATAATCATGGTCGTGGTTGTTATAATCATGGTCGTGGTTGTTAAAATCATGGTCGTGGTTGTTAAAATCATATTCGTGGTTGTTATAATCATGGTCGTGGTTGGTTATAATCATGGTCGTGGTTGTTATAATCATGGTCGTGGTTGTTATTCATGTGGTCGTGGTTGTTATAATCATGTCGTGGTTGTTATAATCATGGTCGGTTGTTATAATCATAGTCGTGTTATAATCATGGTCGTGGTTGTTATAATCATGGTCGTCGGTTGTTATAATCATGGTCGTGGTTGTTATAATCATAGTCGTGGTTGTTATAATCATAGTCGTGGTTGTTATAATCATAGTCGTGGTTGTTATAATCATAGTCGCGGTTGTTATAATCATAGTCGTGGTTGTTATAATCATGGTCGTGGTTGTTATAATCATGGTCGTGTTGTTATAATATTTTATATGGTCGTGCTTGTTATAATCATATTCGTGGTTATTATAATCATGGTCGTGGTTGTTATAATCACGGTCGTGGTTGTTATAATCATGGTCGTGGTTGTTATAATCATAGTCGCGGTTGTTATAATCATAGTCGTGATTGTTATAATCATAGCCGTGGTTGTTATAATCATGGTCGTGGTGTTTATAATCATAGTCGAGGTTGTTATAATCATGGTCGTAGTTATAATCATAGTCGTGGTTGTTATAATCATGGTCGTGCTTGTTATAATCATATTCGTTTTATTATAATCATGGTCGTGGTTGTTATAATGACGGTCGTGGTTGTTATAATCATGGTCGTGGTTGTTATAATTATGGTCCTGGTTGTTATATTCATGGTCGTGCTTGTTATAATCATAGTCGTGGTTGTTATAATCATGGTCGTGGTTGTTATAATCATAGTCGTGGTTGCTATAATCATGGTCCTGGTTGTTATAATCATGTTCCTGGTTGTTATAATCATGGTCGTGGTCGTAAGACTTACAGTATCTAATATACTATAAGAAGGAATAGAATAAAGGTTAGAATAATTAGTTTAATTAATATTCGCCATAAGGTGAGGTTAAAATGATAACAAAAAATATTATGAATCACCGATGATCATTCCGAGATATATTATATTATGAAGCGAAGTGACCTTGATTCTGGTTAGATTAGTCACCATCTACTTAAGTCATCATATGTGTTAAGTCGTCATAGTCATCATCTACGTTAGTCAGTTTTATGCCCACCTCACATGACTGATCGACCATCTATGTTCTTTCCGCGCGTGGGTGTTAGTTTTCAATGCGTCTTATTATTTATGCTGGTTTGATGTAAGACCTCCTACCCTCACTGACGCAGCTATGGTCAATTTGGTGTTAGTTTGTTTATAAATGCCTTCTAATCTGTCTCAAGTCTATCCGTCCTGTCTATTGCCATCCCAACTGTCTGTTCGTCTGCGTGGTGTTTGAATGTAAGCCCGTCTTTACTAATGTGAACCAGTGAGTCAGCTCTCTGTCTGTCATGTTAGTTGCCATATTGTCTATTTGTGCATGTATGAAACTGTCCATTTTTGTCAACCTCCTGTCTGTTTCACTGTCTATATTCACCCTGTGTCCATTGTAGTCATCTTCTCCATGCATTCCTGTTATTATCTTTTTATCTCTTCTCTTTTTCCACAGGAATAAGTACACACTGTAGCCTCGTAAGGTCCGAAAATGCTCTGGTAAAGTCGAAACTGCGCATCCACACGCATGATGAAACTCAGCTCCCCCCCACCTGTCATCTCTAACTATTGTCTGTTTCCCCTTCTTTCTTCTATTTACTCATCTTCCTTCCTTTGCTAATCCAAACAACTTTTAAAAAAAAGTAGGCTAAGAGAAAAAGTGGGGGGAGGAGTAGGGAGCGGTACGATAACTGCAATCGTCCGGCCTGCAGACAGCATACAGGGACATCTGTTGCCAGCGTAAATAAAATCGTTAATTAATGCTTTCCTAAAGAAACCATTGACATGGGACCAGGTTTGTTCCACTCTACGAATTTTTTGCGATTTTTCCACGAAGTTTGATGAAAAACGATTGTCCCGTTTCGCCTGTCCAGAGCAGATACACGCACGCCTAGCCCTATAGTATATTAGATTATTATTACTTTTGTGGGGGCCTCCAACCTCTCCTTTTAGACATACCTTCACCATTTTATTACCAAACTATCCTAATGCAAAATTATCTATCGTAGCTGAACTAGTTAAGCTGCATATCTATTCGGCATTCCATGATTGTTAGCTTATAGTCCATGTGTGTGACTGTTGTATGGTTTAGGGACCAAAGATCTTGTTCTCCAGAAATACAGGAGAGCAGACCTGAGGAAGGAGGATGATAGGCGACACCTCTTTTTTTAGTTTAACAAATTTATTTACAAAGAACATAAGAATGGAGGAAACTGCAGCAGGCCTATTGGCCCATTATGGACAGTCCCATTTACACCCATGTTTGAAGCTATCCAGCGTATTCGAGTTAATGATGATATTTGGTAACTTGTTCCACTCGTCCACTACTCTATTTCCAATCCAATGTATAACATAGATGTTTTACAGCGAAAATTGACTGTTTGCTGTCTTTACTGTTAATTGTTGATAGTGAATACTTTCATCATTGAGGGTTTAGATCCATTTACAGACCAGACCATTCTTTACATAAGTGCACCTAGGCCAAGTGCACTGGTCTCTTCATTCTCGTTCATACTGTGTGCAGCCTCGAGAAACAGAATATAGTGATATGCACCCAAGGATCGAATAACCTGATATCAAAGAAGCTTCACTGTCTCCTTGTCCAGAATCGTCGAGTACTAACATCCACTTTGGCTTCGTTGGTTGTGTTGGCAGTCCTGTGAATGGAGCACCGCTGTGCAATGGAAGGAGAGTCGATTTTAGAGTGATGTCGCGCTATACAGTATCTACTACTACTAATACTACTACTACTACTACTACTACTAATAATAATAATAATAATAATAATAATAATAATAAGATCTTCCAAATTATTTAGAAATTGTTAATTATGCTACTACTGAAAGGCCAGGAGCCTGAGAGAATACTAATTTTAGGGTAAATAGTTGAAATTAAAGTCCAAATAAATTAGAACAATAATAGGTTAAAATGCAATGTATTATTACTGAAATGATTATTATTGTTACTGCTAGTAGAATTATTATAACTATCACTACTTTTATTAATCCTATTAACATTACTATTGTGTGATTTATCTTAGCTTTGCATCTTCTCTGCATTATCAATATTATTCACGTTGCTTAGTTTTTATTACTTTTATTATTAGTTACAACTATGAAAGAGGCAGATGAGAAACGGGATGAGGGAATTATTAGTGGTGTCTCTCTGTTTACAGGTACTGCGGGGACGCCACTCCTGATGGCACCATCACCTTTGACGGCTGGACAAGACTCACCTTCTTCAATAGTGGAAACAGAGTTAACAAAGGCTTTAACTGTAATATCCAGTGCACCAGTTTTGCTAAGCGTATATCCACCTAGCCTACCAGTCACTACTACCACGGCTACCACCTCCACCACCACGACCACCACCACACTACCACAAATACCACCTCCATCACCGCGACCACTACCACCACTACCACAACTACCACCTCCACCACCATGACTACCACCTCCACCATAACGACTACCACCTGCACTACCATGACTACTACCACCACTACCATAGCTATAACCACCACACCGACTTTTTTTATTTATGGCGTACATCCTCAACTTAGAGCCATACTTTCCCCACACTTTGCATTACCTTATCATCCTAATACAAAATTACAACCACCACCAAGACTATAACCACCACCACGACTATAATCACCACCATGAGTGTTATCGCCGCTGGCTTCAGTTACAGTGCTGTCGTGTGATGCCATTAAATCTATCGACCTGTGACCTCGCCATGTGTAGAAGTGTTTACAGACAAGTCCTGGTTCTGTTAAGTGGACTGTCTTCGACTAGTGGCGGTGCTGCCCGCCCCGCCATGAGACAGATCGCCCTCTCTAGTGATGCTGTGAAGACCAGCCTTCTGCTCGCACTGGTGAACACCGACTCACAATCCTGTCCAAGAATTTGTGCTGGGACAATTTACTCAGTACTATTGTCTCTTGGAACACCATACTGATCTGCATTGACCCGCACTTGTAAGTACAGCCGAAGTGATGACATACCTCTCGGTACTGAAATATTGTTGGCTAATTACGCCTACTCGTTTCTGCCTAACCTGGAGTAATAAGACAATGCAGAATGAAGCGAAGCTAAGATTAATAGAGTTATGAACTTTGTGTTATGTCAGTATGCTTAATAAATTGCAATTAATATAGAATTGTGTGAGACTAACTAATTATGTATCAGATGGATCACCATGTAATATTATGAACATCTCCTCTGCAGATTTTGACCACATCAATAAATATTGAATGCGTCAAAAGGCGGGTTTCAATCATTCCCTTCGACTTGCCCGTCACCTAAACGTCCTTAACCAAGGCGTTTATAATGACTATAACCGCCACCACGACTATAACCACCACCACGACTATAACCACCACTACGACCATAACCACCACCACGATTATAACCACCACCACGACTATAACTGCTACCTCTACTATAACCACCACCACGACCATAACTACCACCATGACTATAACTACCACCACAAGCACGAATATAACCACCACAACGATTATAACCACCACATCGATTATACCTACCACCACGACTATAACCACCACCACGACTATAGCCACCACCACGACTATAACAACCACCACGAGGGTGCTGCGTGACACCGGTGCTTCTCATACTCTATTGCTAAATCCTAACCCTGGTGATTGTCAAACTGGTGCCTATGTTGTGTTGAGGGGTGCGGGTGTTCGTTTCTCTGTGCTTTTGGTCGAGCTTAATTGCGACCTGTACAGCGTGTGTTGGCCTGATAGATGAGCTGCCAGTGCCTGATATAGAACTCCTTCTTGGGAATGACTTGGCTGGAGATAGAGTAAAGTTGGACTATCTTGTCTATTGTCCCTGTATATGAGCCACTAACTGTGGAACTTGAGAGAGTGATACCAGAGACCATCTCTGTCTGTGCTGTCACTAAGTCAATGGCGAAGGTGGCAGTCCCTTCTGAGCACAATGATCCTCATGTTTCCCCTTCCTCTAATGAACCTTTGACAGGGGATGTGGTGTGTGAGGAGGATGAAACAACGTCGACTCTGACCGAGCCCAATGATGAAGATGAAACTGCTGAGACTCTGACCGAGCCAAGTGATGAGGGTGAAACTGCTGAGACTCTGACCGAGTCTAGTCTTGCGATTAATCTTGCAGTTATCTTCATGGTGGACCTAAACGAGGATCACAACTTCTTATTTGCCTCTTAACTGTCCGATTAGTCTGGTAGACTTGCAACGTGATAATGAGTGTAAAACGTTGGGTGTTAGTGAGGAAGACCGTATGAATGAGCCGAGAGAATTTTACTCTCCGAAGAATGTTGTGATGCACTTTGAAGGACAAACTTGGCACAGCTCAAATGATCCTTGCACCACTCTTTATTCTCGGTCACATGGCATTGACAAGGTGTCTAAATTGTGTAAACCAGGAACTCCTTCTCAACCAAGATGCACCCTCGTTTCAGATGGATAGTGCTGCTGGAATTGGCAATGCTCCTCCTGTGTAGAGAATGGAGAAACCCATGAGAAGGGGTTCCAGTGGTCCGACCCTGATAATCCCTGTATAACTTTTCCCTACAACCAGGGGAACATACTGAGACATCCATTAGTATGCAGACCGGCCCATCCACCACAACCAAACTGTGTCCTGACCAAAGACAAAGACAATATATAAGACAGATACATACATGCCTACAATAGACACAGGGTGAATATAGACAGTGAAACAGACGGGTAGTTGACTGTTACGAGTTGGGGATTTATAATATAGTTAAACGTCTACCCAGATCCCAACAGGTAACAAAAAAAAAACAAAGACAATCGGACTATAAAAGGGTAGACAAAGGATGCGAGTTTTCGTTGTGTATAATAAAGTACCATAAATCCCTTAACAAAATATTCAGCTTATAAATTACCCTTAACCAAACTTAACCTAAACATTAACAGTATATACATATTAATAAAACATAAAACAATCGTGAAGCAAGGTGGAGGTGGGAGAGGCAATACAAGATTACAAATACTTAAGTGAGGAGCTGAGATGGCTGACGAGCAAGGCTGAGTATTGTAGAAGACGGTAGGTAGTCACTGTGCCGTAGGTTTAGAGGATAGATGATCCTGTGGTCACTTCCCAGAGTGTAGTGCTCTCTCCTCGAATTCGAGCTGACAAAGAAGACTTGGAGGAAGTGACGCAACAACCAGGATATGGAGAAGGGAAACCCCGGAGTGGTAACTAAGACGAGTCATACTCGTGTCTCGTCCCTAGATGGTGTTGCTCGTGGTGCTGGGTAGGTAGATCAAGACAATAGATGGCGTGGTTCGTAGTGCTGGGTAGGTAGATCATGACAATCGGTGGAGGGGTTCGTAACACACCCCCCCTCCAAAGACCTCCGTAGCGCGGGAGCGAAGGAGGTGATCACCTGGTTGAACAAAGATGGATCAGATTGTTGGGCTTTAATGAGCTCATCCTTACTAATGGTCTTATTGTACAGATCTTCTGTGGGTAGGAAGATATTGGAGGTGGTTTTAGATGAAGAGGGCCCATTTCGCACACTCTGTGACCGGGTGACAGCACAAGATGGGAAAAGATGAGGAATAGTTTCTTTAAGGTCAGTGGTGGAGTTGACAGGTAAGGGAGAGTCGACTGTCTTTATGTTAGGAACCACTAGATCTCCTACCAAGTCATTACCCAATAATAAATGAATGCCGCACACAGGCATTGGGTCTTTCCTAATGGCTATTTGCACTTCCCCAGTAATCAAGGGACATTGGAGGTGCACTTTAGCTAAGGGATAGGAAGAATGGGATGAGAGATCTGAAATTAGAACACTCTCGTTAGTAAATGCGGTAGATATATCAGGAATGACGTTAAACAGGAGGATAGATTGTGCTGCGCCCGTATCACGTAGTATACGAATAGGGAAAGAACGAGACCCCTCTATGATTGAAATTTTTCCCTTACAGGTGAATGAAGAGAAGAGATCCTGATGGGGCCTTTCCACATTGGTGGTTGCTATTGGTTTGGATTTGGGATCCAGGGAACTACTTTTTAGCAGTTCGACACTTTGGGTGTTTACAAGACTGGATCGTATGGCCTGGTTTTTTTACAGTAAGAACAAATAAACTTGGTTGCATCAGGGGGGGGGGGTAGGTGTGGGACCTTTCGACCTACCACTCACGTCCCCAAGGTTATCATCAGAGGAGGACCTAACATGTTGGAAAGTACCACGTTCCCTATGGCACAGTGACTCCACCAGCAAGGCGTACTCATCAGCCAGCTCAGCCGCACGCCCTAAATTAACCTCTCCACGTTCTTCCACATGCTTCAAGATGTGAAATGGTATCTTGCTTTTCCACTCCTCCAGGACTACCAAGTTTAACAAATCCTGAGGTGGCCATTAAGAAAACCTAGATAAATTAATTAATGGTCAAAAAGATAAGATAAGTGGATTACCCTAGAAAATATCACGGCAGTGGATTACCCTAGAAAATATCACGGCAGTGGATTACCAGAAAGTCCCGGAAACTACCCAAGTTATACCTAGGGAAATTACACTTATGAATATTGTTCTTCTGATAAGATCCTTAGATAAGGATAAGAGACTTGAAAGAGGAGGGGCGTATTACGGCATTTTATATAAAGATCCGAATTAACAACCCTGAGATACTTGAAAGAGGAAGGGCGTATTACGGCATTAATATAAAGATCGGGATTAACACCCCTGAGATACTTGAAAGAGGAAGGGCGTATTACGGCATTAATATAAAGATCCGGATTAACAACCCTGAGATACTTGAAAGAGGAAGGGGGTATTACGGCATTAATATAAAGATCCGGATTAACAACCCTGGAGTTTGGTATGATTGACCCTGAATGAGATAATGAGAAGAACAATAATTGAGGCTTTATAATTATGGGGTCCTGGTAGAGCGGGGCGTCCCAAGATGTCACTTCACCCTAAACTAGTGACTATGGAACAGCCTACTCTGGAGTGAAGGTACGGCATTAAACAGATCCGGATTCTTCCCTACACTCGATAAGACTTACTACACGACTGCCACGTGTAATAACAGGTAAGCCTTATGACACTTGGAATCTAATATCCTACATCTGTCACGCGTACTGTACGGTAATACCAATATATGCACACACATATGAAGGAAACTTTAAACCACCGTTAAGCAATTGTGAACAGAAGTGACTGGGAGGAATAATTAACAAGGAGTTACAAGGGAGGAAGGAATATGGTACTTAAGGTCGGGTCCTGTCAGGGTCGCCATTTGTTACGAGTTGGGGATTTATAATATTGTTAAACGTCTACCCAGATCCCAACAGGTAACAAAAAACAAAAAACAAAGACAATTGGACTATAAAAGGGTAGACAAAGGATGCGAGTTTTCGTTGTGTACAATAAAGTACCATAAATCCCTTAACAAAATATTCAGCTTATAAATTACCCTTAACCATACTTAACCTAAACATTAACAGTATATACATATTAATAAAACATAAAACAATCGTGAAGCAAGGTGGAGGTGGGAGAGGCAATACAAGATTACAAATACTTAAGTGAGGAGCTGAGATGGCTGACGAGCAAGGCTGAGTATTGTAGAAGACGATAGGTAGTCACTGTGCCGAAGGTTTAGAGGATAGATGATCCTGTGGTCACTTCCCAGAGTGTAGTGCTCTCTCCTCGAATTCGAGCTGACAAAGAAGACTTAGAGGAAGTGACGCAACAACCAGGATATGGAGAAGGGAAACCCCGGAGTGGTAACTAAGACGAGTCATACTCGTGTCTCGTCCCTAGATGGCGTTGCTCGTGGTGCTGGGTAGGTAGATCAAGACAATAGATGGCGTGGTTCGTAGTGCTGGGTAGGTAGATCATGACAATTGGTGGAGGGGTTCGTAACACAACCCCCCTCCAAAGACCTCCGTAGCGCGGGAGCGAAGGAGGTGATCACCTGGTTGAACAAAGATGGATCAGATTGTTGGGCTTTAATGAGCTCATCCTTACTAATGGTCTTATTGTACAGATCTTCTGTGGGTAGGAAGATATTGGAGGTGGTTTTAGATGAAGAGGGCCCATTTCGCACACTCTGTGACCGGGTGACAGCACAAGATGGGAAAAGATGAGGAATAGTTTCTTTAAGGTCAGTGGTGGAGTTGACAGGTAAGGGAGAGTCGACTGTCTTTATGTTAGGAACCACTAGATCTCCTACCAAGTCATTACCCAATAATAAATGAATGCCGCACACAGGCATTGGGTCTTTCCTAATGGCTATTTGCACTTCCCCAGTAATCAAGGGACATTGGAGGTGCACTTTAGCTAAGGGATAGGAAGAATGGGAAGAGAGATCGAAATTAGAACACTCTCGTTAGTAAATGCGGTAGATATATCAGGAATGACGTTAAACAGGAGGATAGATTGTGTTGCGCCCGTATCACGTAGTATACGAATAGGGAAAGAACGAGACCCCTCTATGATCCATTGGGCTCGGTCAGAGTCGACGTTGTTTCATCCTCCTCACACACCACATCCCCTGTCAAAGGTTTATTAGAGGAAGGGGAAACATGAGGATCATTGTGCTCAGAAGGGACTGCCACCTTCGCCATTGACTTAGTGACAGCACAGACAGAGATGGTCTCTGGTATCACTCTCTCAAGTTCCACAGTTAGTGGCTCATATACAGGGACAATAGACAAGATAGTCCAACTTTACTCTATCTCCAGCCAAGTCATTCCCAAGAAGGAGTTCTATATCAGGCACTGGCAGCTCATCTACCAGGCCAACACACGCTGTACAGGTCACAATTAAGCTCGACCAAAAGCACAGAGAAACGAACACCCGCACCCCTCAACACAACATAGGCACCAGTTTGACAATCACCAGGGTTAGGATTTAGCAATAGAGTATGAGAAGCACCGGTGTCACGCAGCACCCTCAAGGTGGTTGTTATAGTCGTGGTGGTGGTTATAGTAGTTGTGATGGTTATAATCGTGGTGGTGGGTATAATCGTTGTGGTGGTTATATTCGTACTTGTGGTGGTAGTTATAGTCATGGTGGTGGTTATAGTCGTGGTGGTAGTTATAGTCTTGGTGGTAGTTATAGTAATGGCGGTTGTTATAGTCGTGGTTGTATTTATAGCCGTGGTGGTGGTTATATTCGTGGTGGTGTTTCTTATGGTTTTGAATAGATCGGTGGTAGTATGAGTGGATTATATTACATGAAGATAATAATATGTCTTATTTCTTATTTCTTACCGTAGAGTTCGATACCTTCACACTGGTTACTTACAGGAGATTATGGCTTATCTACATAGAAGTTCACTCCACCACTCGACATTCCATGATTTATACTTGATAAAGGATGATTTAATGATTTCATTAATTTCAACATCCCTCTAAGTTATTGGTTATACTTTGTCATAACCAATCAGTCATTACCCTTAGTAATGATAAGATAGGATCACAGATACGGGCAGATAATTGCACTTACATTTATTTGTCAAGCTTCCATACAATGATTTACAATTTGCATGGATATATGAATCACTCACGTTCACGCTGTAATAAATTTAATCTTCTAAAAGAGAATTTCAACTTGCGGGCACATGTGATTACTGTACTATGGGTGTGACTTAACAGAGCCTTAATTCTTCAAGTGATACATTTACTGTCAGCCTGGATTGCTTTTGTTGCAACCAGTTTTCATCACAAGAACTTCTTTCCACGGGCCATAATAACAAAAAGTACTCTTGGGTTACCACACGTATTCTCGCGTCACTGACAGTCACTGTAGAAGGGTGTCGTGCAGGAGAACTCTGTAAGCGTGAATTAATTAACCATTTACTGTAGGTTTGATAGGCCAGCCTGGATTGCTCTTGTTGCAACCAGGCATCCACACCTGATATTTCCACGGGGATAACAACCTAGGTTAACACACTTAATCTCGTGTCGATCACTGTCACTGTAGACGGGTGTCGTGCAGGAGAATGTAAGCGTGAATTAATTAACCATTTGCTGTAGGTTTGATAGGCCAGCCTGGATTGCTCTTGCTGCAACCAGGCATCCACACGTGATATTTCCACGGGGATAACAACCTAAGTTAACACACTTAGTCTCGTGTCGATCACGGTCCACAGGACAGAGTGGCGGTGGAAGACTGTGTGTGGTGTGGTGCCCCGCTCCCTTTCAGGAGGGAGAGAGTCAAGACGACTTCTTAACTAACCCATGGTTCAGGGGATACTACTTAAAATGAGGTTTTTGGGTGTGAAGCAATGAACAGTACAACACAGTGTCACTGCCCACCCTCCTAAAGGCTGGCTAACATACACAAATGGAAAATACATGTCCCAGTTATGCCTCGCCGGGTGTCTTATCTCTAGTAAAACAAACTTTGGAGTTGGTTGCATGGGTAAGCGTAACGCAACCCATGACAGTGTTTATATTTGTGGTGGTGGTTATAGCCGTGGCGGTGGTTATAGTCGTGGTGGTAGTTATAGTTGTGGCAGTTGTTCTGGTCGTGGTTATTAGTCGTGGTGGTGGTTATTGTTGTGGTGGTGGCTATTGTTGTGGTGGTGGTTATTGTTGTGGTGGTGGTTATAGCCGTGGCGGTGGTTATAGTCGTGGTGGTAGTTTTAGTTGTGGCAGTAGTTCTGGTCGTGGTTATTGTCGTGGTGGTGGTTATAGGTCGTGGTGGTGGTTATGGTCATGGTGGTGGTTATAGTCGTGGTGGTGGTTATAGTCGTGGTGGCGGTTATAGTCATTATAAACGCTTTGGTTAAGGACGTTTGCGTGACGGGCAAGTCGAAGGGAATGATTGAAACCCGCCTTTTGACGCATTCAATATTTATTGATGTGGTCAAAATCTACAGAGGAGATGTTCATAATATTACATGGTGATCCATTTGATACATAATTAGTTAGTCTCACACAATTCTATATTAATTGCAATTTATTAAACATACTGACATAACACAAAGTTCATAACTCTATTAATCTTAGCTTCGCTTCATTCTGCATTGTCTTATTACTCCAGGTTAGGCAGAAACGAGTAGGCGTAATTAGTCAACAATATTTCAGTACCGAGGGGTATGTCATCACTTAAGCTGTACTTACAAGTGCGGGTCAATGCAGATCAGTATGGTGTTCCAAGAGACATTAATACTGCGTAAATTCTCCCAGCACAAATTTTCGGACAGGATTGTGAGTCGGTGTTCATCAGTGCGAGCAGTAGGCTGGTCTTCACAGCATCACTAGAGAGGGGGATCTGTCTCATGGCGGAGCGGGCAGCACCGCCACCAGTCGAAGACAGTCCACTTAACAGAACCAGGACTTGTCTGTAAACATCTGGCGAGGTCACAGGTCGAAAGATTAAATGGCATCACACGCCAGCACTGTAACTGAAGCCAGCGGCGATAACACTCATGGTGGTGGTTATAGTCGTGGTGGTGGTTATAGTCTTGGTGGTGGTTGTAGTCGTGGCCTTGGTTGTAATTTTGTATTACGATGATAAGGTAATGCAAAGTGTGGAGAATGTATGGCTCTAAGGTGAGGATGTACGTCATAAATAAAAAAAGTCGGTGTGGTGGTTATAGCTATGGTAGTGGTGGTGGTAGTCATGGTGGTTGAGGTGGTAGTCGTTGTGGTGGAGGTGGTATTCATCGTGGTGGAGGTGGTAATCGGTGTGGTGGAGGTGGTAGTCATGGCGGTGCAGGTGGTAGTCGTGGTAGTGGTGGTAGTGGTGTTGGTGGTGGAAGTGGTATTCGTGGTAGTGTGGTGGTGGTAGTGGTGGTGGAGGTGGTAGTCGTGGTAGTGGTGACTTTGGTAGGCTAGGTGGATATACGCATAGCAAAACTGGTGCACTGGATATTACATTTAAAGCCTTTGTTAACTCTGTTTCTACTCCTGAAGGCGAGTCTTGTCCAGCCGTCATAGGTGATGGTGCCATCAGGCGTGGCGTCCCCACAGTACCTGTAAACAGAGAGACACCACTAATAATTCCCTCATCCCGTTTCTCATCTGCCTCTTTTATAGTTGTAACTAATAATAAAAGTAATAAAAACTAAGCAACGTGAATAATATTGATAATGCAGAGAAGATGCAAAGCTAAGATAAATCACACAATAGTAATGTTAATAGGATTAATAAAAGTAGTGATAGTTATAATAATTCTACTAGCAGTAACAATAATAATCATGTCAGTAATAATACATTGCATTTTTAACCTATTCTTGTTCTAATTTATTTGGACTTTAATTACAACTATTTGCCCTAAAATTAGTATTCTCTCAGGTTCCTGGCCTTTTCAGTAATGGCATAATTAACAATTTCTAAATAATTTGGAAGATCTTATTATTATTATTATTATTATTATTATTAGTAGTAGTAGTAGTAGTAGTAGTAGTAGTAGTAGATACTGTATAGCGCGACATCACTCTAAAATCGACTCTCTTTCCATTGCACAGCGGCGCTCCATTCACAGGACTGCCAACACAACCAACGAAGCCAAAGTGGATGTTAGTACTCGAGGATTCTGGACAAGGAGACAGTGAAGCTTCTTTGATATCAGGTTATTCGATCCTTGGGTGCATATCACTATATTCTGCTTCTCGAGGTTGCACACAGTATGAACGAGAATGAAGAGACCAGTGCACTTGGCCTAGGAGCACTTATGTAAAGAATGGTCTGGCCTGTAAATGGATCAAAACCCTCAATGATGAAAGTGTTCACTATTAACACTTTACAGTAAAGACAGCAAACAGTCAATTTTCGCTGTATAACATCTATGTTATACATTGGATTGGAAATAGAGTAGTGGACGAGTGTCACAAGTTACCAAATATGATCATTAACTCGAATACTCTGGATAGCTTCAAACATAGGTTGGATGGATATATGAGCAATAGGGGTTGGGTGTAAATGGGACTGCCCATAATGGGCCAATAGGCCTGCTGCAGTTTCCTCCATTCTTATGTTCTTTGTAAATAAATTTGTTAAACTAAAAAAAAGAGGTGTCGCCTATCATCCTCCTTCCTCAGGTCTGCTCTCCTGTATTTCTGGAGAACAAGATCTTTGGTCCCTAAACCATACAACAGTCACAGACATGGACTATAAGCTAACAATCATGGAATGCCGAATAGATATGCAGCTTAACTAGTTCAGCTAGGATAGATAATTTTGCATTCGGATTGTTTGGTAATAAAATGGTGAAGGTATGGCTAATATACTATAACGCTAGGCGTGCGTGTATCTGCTCTGGGCAGGCGAAACGGCACAATCGTTTTTCATCAAACTTCGTGGAAAAATCGCAAAAAATTCGTAGAGTGGAACAAACCTGGTCCCATGTCAAAGGTTTCTTTAGGAAAGCATTAATTAACATTTTTATTTACGCTGGCAACAGATGTCCCTGTATGCTGTCTGCCGGCCGGACGATTGCAGTTATCGTAAGGCTCCCTACTCCTCCCCCCACTTTTTCTCTTATCCTACTTTTTTTTTAATGTTGTTTGGATTAGTAAAGGAAGGAAGATGAGTAAATAGAAGAAAGAAGGGGAAACAGACAATAGTTAGAGATGACAGGTGGGGGGGAGCTGAGTTTCATCATGCGTGTGGATGCGCAGTTTCGACTTTACCAGAGCATTTTCGGACCTTACGAGGCTACAGTGTGTACTTATTCCTGTGGAAAAAGAGAAGAGATAAAAAGATAATAACAGGAATGCATGGAGAAGATGACTACAATGGACACAGGGTGAATATAGACAGTGAAACAGACAGGAGGTTGACAAAAATGGACAGATTCATACATGCACAAATAGACAATATGGCAACTAACATGACAGACAGACAGCTGACTGACTGACTGGTTCACTTTAGTAAAGACGGGCTTACATTCAAACACCACGCAGACGAACAGACAGTTGGAAAGGCAATAGACAGGACGGATAGACTTGAGACAGATTAGAAGGCATATATAAACAAACTAACACCAAATTGACCATAGCTGCGTCAGTGAGGGTAGGAGGTCTTACATCAAACCAGCATAAATAATAAGACGCATTGAAAACTAACACCCACGCGCGGAAAGAACATAGATGGTCGGTCAGTCATGTGAGGTGGGCATAAAACTGACTAACGTAGATGATGACTATGATGACTTAACACAGGTGATGACTTAAGCAGATGGTGACTAATCTAACCAGAATCAAGGTCACTTCTCTTCATAATATAATTTATTACGGAATGATCATCGGTGATTCATAATATTTTTTATTTATGATTTTAACCTCTCCCTATGGCGAATATTTATTGAACTAATTATTCTAACCTTTATTCTATTATTTCTTATAGTATATTAGATACTGTAAGTCTTACGACCACGACCATGATTATAACAACCACGACCATGATTATAACAACCAGGACCATGATTATAGCAACTATGATTATAACAACGACGACCATGATTATAATACACGACCGTGATTATAACAACCACGACTTTGATTATAACAACCACGACCATGATTATAAATACCACGACTCTGATTATAACAACCACGACCATGATTATAAAAACCACGACTATGATTATAACAACCACGAATATGATTATAACAACCACGACCATGATTATAACAACCACGACCATTATTATAACAAACACGACCATGATTATAACAACCACGACCATGATTATAACAAACACGACCATGATTATAAAACACATGATTATATCAACCACGACTATGATTATAACAACCACGACTATGATCATAACCACGACTATGATTATAACAACCACGACCATGATTATAACAACCACGACCATGATTATAACAACCATGACCATGTGGAAAACGATGTCGCTGTACGCTGTCAGCTGGACGGTGGTTGTGAGCTTGGAAAGCACGAGCGTTCGAACTTTCACGCCTCGGTAAACTCTACCACCGGACTCGCCAGCGGACACTAAGTGCCCACGATCACTTGTAATAATAATAATAATAATAATGATAATAATAATAATAATAATACTAATAATAATAATAATACTAATAATAATAATACTAATAATAATACTAATAATAATAATAATACAAATAATAATAATAAAAATAATAATAATAATAATAATAATAATAATAATAATAATAATAATAATAATAATAATAATAATAATAATAATAATAATAATAATGATAATAATAATAATAATAATTATTATTATTATTATTATTATTATTATTATTGTAATTATTAATATTATTATTACAAGCAATAGTAACGATATTAATGACGATAATAACTATATTGATTATAATAGCAAGAAGTAAAGAACATAATAAAAAAGCAATTGATGAGAAAAAAAGATAAATACATAATAAACAACTAAAACAAACAAATAGTCTCAGTAATTACAAAAGTAAACAAACTGAAAGTTCAATAACGACACCAACAATGGTTCACTGTTCATACCTCGGTCCAAAAAGCAGATCAAGGACACACCTACTGTAGAACACAAACACACTCAGATATCAAATACTTACAACGTCCTGTTGCCTTTGTATGTTACTATTAAACGATCTTTGACACAATTTTCTGAAGGTTCCAGGGAGAAAGTTGGACAATCAAATTTCAGGTAAGTCGTGTCTCTAGGAGCACAGGAGATCTCCCATTGGCACCTGTGTGGGATTGAGAATATGTGTGAGCATGTTTTATGGCGGTGGTTTTGTGTGGCGACCTGGTGGGTGGAGAGAGAGAGAGAGAGAGAGAGAGAGAGAGAGAGAGAGAGAGAGAGAGAATTTTCTTGTCCCAGAAAATTTCATTAATACATGTTACATTTTTTTTCAATCATAATGCTGTATAAGAGATAGTGAGTGAGAGAAACTGATCTTACCTCCTTCTTTTGGGATAATAAAGAAAGAAGTGAGGAGATTTTACAATGGTGTTGTCTCCTGGGACCAAGGTGATCTTCATGGGTTCACTGAATCCCATGACCATCATCAGCACCAACACTTTTGTAATCATCATACTGGACAGTCAGGCGGTAGTAATGTGACACCTGGTGAAGTAATAGTACTAGTTAATCTAATACAGTAGGTCCTGGGATATCCGCACTAACGAGGAACCAAAAGAACAGTATGCAAGCAAAGGTTGATGGACAAGGAGGAAGGGATTAAAAAGTTGAAGTAACAAAAATTTAAACAACATTTATAGTTTAGGAACATTCTAGATTTTAATAAATAGGCAAAAAAACATATTTCTTACAGTAATTTCAAGGTATTCAAATTCTTGTGCCATACTTCAACAGTTTCACGACCACTACTGCACAAATCTCTTCTCAGCAGTGACTGAACCCCTAGGCCCATTGATCAGACTTTAGAGTATTCTGAAATAGCAGCTTTAGTTAACAGACCACAATCATGTTTGTACACAATCCCTTGCTACCTCCCCCTGACAATCGAGGATGCCATTTAGTACAATTCCATTGTTAAGTCACATCCAAGCAAACAATTCATTAAATTGTGCAAAGTGAAATAGGAACCAAAGAAATACTAAGTTAAAACAATTAACACTTTAATTAACACTTTAATTAACACATTAATCCTATAATACTGTTTTTTCTCCGTTTTCATAAGTATCTCCTAATAACTCATAATACTAGTGGGTAAACTAATGCCAAACCATAGTGAACATGGATGAAATAAGATAACAGCCACTTCCCTGACCTCACATTTCTGTGTTATAATACCCTGTATGATGACACTCGGGACCAAACGTAAACCAAATACAGTACATCTTAACAAATAGACTATTCATAAATCAAAACTTCTTCATATTAGTACATAATATTATATGATTACTAAATATTAGAAGTCTTTGAGAACCAGTAGAATTCATATGCAATGAAAAAATAAACTACAGTAATTATTACAAAGGATATACAGCTTTCATATTTGTTTGATAGAAAACCTCTCTTGCAACGGTGACTCATACAGAATGAATATACGTACAGCATACATCTTCATATTATATAAATTCATAGACTTATTTAATACTTCCATATACAGTATAATTACACACTTATATATATATATATATATATATATATATATATATATATATATATATATATATATATATATATATATATATATATATATATATATATATATATATATAATAAAGAAGTATGTCTGTGTGTGTGTGTTTCTGTGTGTGTGTGTCCGCACGAGAATCTTGGAAACTTCCTTACCGATCTGTAGTGATGATGGATGGTGTTATATGTAGTGATGTCGGATGATGTTATATGTGATGATGATGGGTGGTGTTATATGTAGTGATGATGGATGATGTTATATGTAGTGATGATGGGTGGTGTTATATGTAGTGATGATGGATGGTGTTATATGTAGTGGTGATGGATGGTGTTATATGTAGTGATGATGGATGATGTTATATGTAGTGATGATGGTTGATGTTATACGTAGTGATGATGGGTGGTGTTATATGTAGTGATGATGGATGGTGTTGTATGTAGCGGTGGTGGTGACGGTGGTAGTGACAGTGGTAATGGTGATGGTGATAGCGGCATGTTTGTGGTGATAGAGTTGGTGGTAGAGACTGGATGATAGTAGTGGTAATGATGGTGGTGGTAATGATGATGATGGTAGTGGTGATGGTAGTGATGGTGGTGCTATATATAGTGATGATGGATGGTGTTATATGTAGTGATGATGGATGGTGTTATATGTAGTGGTGGTGGATGATGTTATATGTAGTGATGATGGGTGGTGTTATATGTAGTGATGATCTATATCTATATAAAAGAAAGAAGTCTCTCTGTTTGTCTGATTGTCCGCACGAGAATCTCGGAAGCTACTTTACTGATCTGTAGTGATGATGGATGGTATTATATGTAGTGATGATGGATGATGTTATATGTAGTGATGATGGGTGGTGTTATATGTAGTGATGATGGATGGTGTTATATGTAGTGATGATGGATGATGTTATATGTAGTGATGATGGGTGGTGGTAAATGTAGTGATGATGGATGGTGTTATATGTAGTGATGATTAGACAATAAAATAATAACAGTTTAATGCTAAAAAAATATACTTTGCTGTACCTTTGTAGTGGAACTTACATACACCGTTAATGAACTATTGATGGAAGAAGAAGTTTTGGGGAGTGAACAGTGAGACAATGTGGAGCCTCCCGGAGGGTGGCGTCCTACCATGGGCTCCGCTGGAATGCCTCCTCACCACCTCACTCTTAAGATTGGAACTCCTATAATGCTCTTAAGAAATCTTTTACCACCAATCCTCTGCAATGGCACAAGACTGGTGGTGAAGAACATGATGCCCCATGTACTGGAAGCAACAATACTGACAGGAAAAGCTAAAGAAGAGGACATTTTTATACCAAGGATATCTCTCATCACCACTGACCTGCCATTTGAGTTCTAGCGACTTCAGTTCCCGGTTAAAGTGAGCTTTGCCATGACCATCTATAAAAGCCAGGGACAGTCCCTAAAGATGGTTGGCCTAAACCTGGTGTTTCCTTGCTTCTCTCATGGACAGTTCTATGTTGGATGCTCCAGAGTGGGAACTGGCAAAAATCTGTACATACTTGCTGCTAATGGCAAAACCAAAAATGTGGTCTACCTTAATGCACTACAGTGAGACAATGTGGAGCCTCCCGGAGGGTGGCGTCCTACCGTGGCCTAGCGAAAGAGCCGATTCCGCTAGTGTGTATATATATATATATATATATATATATATATATATATATATATATATATATATATATATATATATATATATATATATATAATTGCTCAAGAATCAGATATCGTAATCTCCATTTCCTGAGGTGTAGTAGCATGGTAGGAAGTAGGTAGTAGGCAGCTACCAAACAGGGAAGTACTACTGCCTGGGAAGATATTGGAAGCATAATGTGATGTCTATGGTAGACTCTGCTGCCATATGCATCACAAAAATTATGACCAAGTCTCAGGATGCTGATCTGACTTTCTGCTTCATTTACACACAATTGCAGGGTCTCAATTGTTTCACTTACTATTGACAACACAACATGCATATATTGTTTCTCACTTTTGATCTTTTTTCATTTTTGTAATTCTTTATTATTATTATAAATAAATAAATATATATATATATATATATATATATATATATATATATATATATATATATATATATATATATATATATATATATATATATATATATATATATATATATATATATATATATACTAGCAGAAACGCCGCGCTCTGGACGGCTCATTCGCTAGGTCACGGTAGGACGCCACCCTCCGGTAAGCTCCACATTGTCTCACTGTTCAGTCCCTGTCACGTGCCTAAGCGCTCGGGAACTCGCATGGCGTGAGGCATATGTTCACGCCTCTATTCCACACAAGCTATTAACTTGTAAATTGTACTTATTATAATATTATTGTTCTTAGTTACTTAGGTTAATTGTATATTTATGTATGCTATTAATATGCATAATTGTGTTACTCTGTTAAGTCAACTCAAGAGTAGTATTAATTAATTATATAAATTATCTAGCAAATGTCCTGGATCATGTGATATGAGACGAGCTCCTCCACGGCGTGCTCCACGCTTCCCCAGTAGCGAAAAACCGTGGCTTATGGTAGACGTGTCCATTCGTTCTTTAGCCTTGACCCTTGTCTAGTGCCTTGTCCAGTCTTCTGCAATGCCCTAGTGGTATAAGGTATTAGTGACACGTTTAGTTAGGCCTAGGAAGGGATCCTGGTGGTAAGGAATCTCCTGTTTGGTAGGAAATAACTATTTTGTAGGGATTGTTGTATATATTTTGTATGTCTGTGTAATATAGTTATGTTAAGTAATATTCGTTTGGTCTAACTCCTTACGGTATATTTTCGCCCTTCCGGCATCACTCTTATTTTAATATACGATCACTTATTCCCTTAAATTCTTGTTTGCTAGTCATTACTCCCTTTAGAACATAAATTGAATTAATTAATTATCTTCCCCTTTGTGATTCACTTATTTCAACTGTTCTTACTTATTCAAGTACATTTAGTTGAGTAGGTTTTTGTGGGGATAATTATTGCCGTGTTCCCTATTTGTTCCTTTATTTGTTAATAACTTGGGGTAGGTTTCACTTCCCAGGTATAAAGGGTAGTGGGATCGCGACAGTCCCCAAAACTTCTTCTTCCATCAATAGTTCATGAACGGTGTATGTAACTTCCACCATGTTTTTCACTACAACGGTACAGCAAAGTATATTTTTTTAGCATTAAACTCTTATTATTTTATTGTCTAATCATCACTACATATGACACCACCCATCATCACTACATACTGTATAACATCATCCATCATCACTACATATAACACCATCCATCATCACTACATATAACATCATCCATCATCACTACATATAACACCATCCATCATCACTACATATAACACCATCCATCATTACTACATATAACACCATCTATCATCACTACAGATCGGTAAAGTAGTTTCCGAGATTCTCGTGCGGACACACACAAACACACAAACACACACGGTAAGACGCCACCCTCCAGGAGGCTCCACATTGTTTCACTGTAGTGCATTAGGGTAGACCACATTTTTGGTTTTGCCATTAGGAGCAAGTATGTAGAGTTTTTTGCCAGTTCCCACTCTGGAGCATCCAACATAGAACTGTCCATGAGAGAAGCAAGGAAACACCAGGTTTAGGCCAACCATCTTTAGACTCTGTCCCTGGCTTTTGTAGATGGTCATGGCAAAGCTCATGGCAGAGGGTTGGTGGTTCAAGATTTCTTAAGAGCCTTATAGGAGTTCCAATCTTAAGAGTGAGGTGGTGAGGCGGTATTCCAGTGGGCTCCAAAGAATTGAGGAATTCTGCAGGGTACTGGACTGCTTGATCCTGGTCGATTACTGTATCAACAGACTTGAATGACGTCTCACTGCCTGGAAGCCGTTTGAGTAGAGTCATGTTGATTTCAGCCACTGTTTCATTCTTTGGTGCCAGAATTGCGCATTCACGCAGCCACTTGTGATCCTTGTAGTGGTGGATGTTTGGGTAAACCATGTTAGTGAGCTCGGTTGAGGACTTTATAACATTTCCACATCCTTGAGGAATAATTATTTGTCCTTCTGAATCAACAGGGAAAGTTCCATTCCCATTCTGTAGTAAAAGGTTTACAAACCGTCCAGCATCCTGATCTCCTTGTAGATGTACTCTCATGTTTATGGGAAGGGTGAGTGTCTCAACACTTCTCCATAGGTATGATGCCTTGAGGCACGCATTCAGTTCATCAGCTGGAGTGCTTCGAGAAATGACAGGTAGGGTCTGGCGAAAGTCTCCACCAATGACCATCGTAATGCCATCGTAGGACGCCACCCTCCTGGAGGCTCCACATTGTCTCACTGTAGTGCATTACGGTAGACCACATTTTTGGTTTTGCCATTAGCAGCAAGTATGTAAAGATTTTTTGAGCATTAAACTGTTATTATTTTATTGTCTAATCATCACTACATATAACACCACCCATCATCACTACATATAACATCATCCGTCATCACTACATATAACACCACCCATCGTCACTGCATATAACATCATCCGTCATCACTACATATAACACCATCCATCATCACTACATATAACACCATCCATCATCACTACATATAACACCACCCATTATCACTACATATAACAACATCCATCATCACTACATATAACACCATCCATCATCACTACATATAACAACATCCATCATCACTACATATAACACCATCCATCATCACTTCATACAGCACCATCCATCATCACTACAGATCGGTAAAGTAGTTTCCGAGATTCTCGTGCGGACACACAAACAAAAACACACACACAAACAAACAGACATACTTCTTTGTTTTATATATATGCAAGTAAATCACTTTTGGTGCGCGTGATCTAGGTATATGCTGATAACCACAAGGAAAGAAGAAAACACGAAGTTCCCATGCGCTTTCGTGTAATTCACATCTTCAGGGGTGAGTACAGTCTGTATACCCCTGATAATATATATATATATATATATATATATATATATATATATATATATATATATATATATATATATATATATATATATATATATATATATATATATATATATACAGATATTTGTATTAATGCTGTTGAACTATGATAGTCATCCATCGAGGAAATGGGTGGTGAAACCTGTACGAAATTTATCTCCAACGTAAAGACAAGGTTTTAACTTTTGGTGCTATGGAAAACATTATTCTAGTACATGAGAGGTATAAGTACACTGTGGTAATCCAAAGTTGCTCTCCATCAGCAACACATTTATCGAAGCCCTGGTGTTAGCCGGGATAAAATACTCAAGTCCTAAAATGCTCAATATTCGAATTAAAAAGTTTCTAAATATTTAGGCTGAGTTTGTTAAGCTGAGTAAATGTCTTTAGGAATTGACAACGGATGACTTTTATAATGCCTTCTCATGGAGTGGGAGAAAGAATAGCATATATTCATCATTTCGAGAAAGTTCCCTTGTCCTTGACATCATTGTTTTTATTTCATTCCGGTGATTGGTCAGTTAAAGACGCCAGCTGTGCCTCGGGATGTGGGGGTTATGGGAGACGCTAAGCAAATTCACTGACCATGCATTGTACTTAACAAACAGCAGGTACTCAACTCATTGTTCCTCTTAGTCTTCATATACGCATTTCAACAAAATGTTCTAATAATTAACTATAACTCATCTGATGCACCAAACATCTGCAAAATTCCGTCATGGACACAACAGTTTTACACAAACTTCGAATACAACGATCATGCCTTCACTTACCTTCAGAGATATAACTGGGAATTGGACTTTCAGTTGTTCAAATGGTTCAGATCAACGCAGTGGACAGACGACCGCCTCTGTGATATACCCTCGACTGCAGGTGCTATATAAAACTGAAGTGTCGTGTTGGAAGCAAGTGAATCACACTTGTAGGTATGAGTAATGGTGGGGGCAAGTGAGTGGTGATTCTCGGAAGTGGTGCATGTTTTTGAAATTGTAAACACTAACTCTGTATCTCATTATATTAATTTATATCTCAGTCTATATCCACACCTATACACAAATATATATATACATATATTTATATATATATATATATATATGTATATATATATATATATATATATATATATATATATATATATATATATATATATATATATATATATATATATATATATATATATATATATATATATATATATATATATCTTGATAAAATCACACTGGGAAAAGGGAAACAACGGGGCACCTTAGCTTTCGTCTTTGTTAAAAGAACATAAGAACATAAGAATGGAGGAAACTGCAGCGGGCCTATTGGCCAATACTGCTCAGTCCCATTTACACGCAACCCCTATTGCTCATATAAGCATCCAACCTATGTTTGAAGCTATCCAGCGTATTCAAGTTAATGATGATATTTTTTAATTTGTTCCAGTCATCCACTACTCTGTTTGCTGACCAGTGTTTACCAATTTCGCGCCTATATCTAAATTTGTCTAATTTAAAACCATTGTTACGAATTCGCTCCTGGTTGGATAGTTTAAGTACCTTTGTAATGTCCCCTTTGATTAGCTCTGACTTCCATTTATACACCTCTATCATGTCACCCCTCGCTCTACGTCTCTCGAGGGAGTGCAAATTAAGATGCTTTAACCTGTCTCTGTACTCAAGGTTCCTAATGCCCGGGATTTGTCATGTCATTCTCCTCTGGATTCTTTCCAAGGATTCTATATCCATTCTGTAATACGGTGACCAGAAGTGCACTGTGTAATCCAGGTGAGGTCTCACAAGCGCAAGATATAATTTAAGATGACCTCGCGAGTCTTGTAACTAACACTCCATTGTATGAACCCAAGTACTTTATTAGCCTTGTTACGAGCAAAAACACATTGTTTACTTGGGTTAAGATTTCTACTTTTCGTTACTCCTAAATCTCTCTCGCAGTCGGATTTCTCAATGGCATCCTAGTTCATCTGGTAACTGGTTTCACTGTTTACGTCTCCTATACTGAGTACTTTGCATTTATCCACATTGAATTTCATTTGCCATTTTTCAGACCATTCGAAAAATTTGTTTAGATCTTCCTGTAGTTTTGCGGAGTCCTCGTCAGATCTAATTACACGTCCTATTTTAGTGTCATCAGCAAATTTACTTATGTTGCTGTCTATGCCGATATCTATGTCGTTTATGTATATAATAAATAATAATGGTCCAAGTACTGAGCCTAGGGGAACTCCACTAGTGGCGTTACTCAAATCGGATTTAGTGCCGTTAATGCTCACCCTCTGTTTCCTGTCGTGTAACTACGCACGAATGCATTTTAGAATATCTCTTCCGATAAAATGAGCCTCCACTTTTCTTGTTAGTCTTCCGTGGGGGACTCTGTCGAAAGCGTTACTAAAGTCAAGATATACCACATCATAGTTGTTCCCCTCGTCCACTGATTCGAAAACAGCTGAAAAGAATGTTAATTGATTAATTCGACATGAACGCCCGCTTGTGAAGCCATGTTGGGAATTATTGATCAACTTGTTCTTCTCCAGGTGGTTTCGAATAGAGTTTGAAATAATTGATTCCAGTAATTTGCCTACAATTGATGTTAGACTGATTGGACAGTAGTTAGAGGATAGTGATCTATCCCCCTTCTTGAAAATCGGTATTACATTCGCTATCCTCCAGGATTCTGATACTACACCTGTTTTTAAGGACATGTTAAACAACTTTGCTGAGGGCATACTAATCTCTTCCTTACTCATCGGGACCAGGCGACTTATTAGGCTTTACTTTGTTGAAAAGTATTTATTCAAATTATTGCTCATTTCTCCGTCGTTATCAGTGAGCTCGCCGGTATGTGACTGTATTGGTCCAATCTTTTCTCGTGTTTTAGTTTGATACATTTGGTAGAATCCTTTGGGGTTTGTCCTCGCCTCCTTTGCTATCCTCAGCTCATTATTCCTCTTTGCTTTCCTTATCTCGGTCTTAACCCTACCGGCCAATACCTTATAATAATCCCAGAGGTAAATTTCGCCACGATTTATCCTCCTGCCTATAGCTTTCCTTTGACCAATAATGTTTTTTAAATAATTATTTATCCGTTTAGGGTCATTGTTGTTTGATCTGAGTTTTTTGTATGGTATGTTCTGCCTTTGTCCATTAAGTAACTCATTATTTAATTTGTCGTGGAACTCGGCAACCTCAGGTCTCGTTATCAGGTCGGTTTCAATCGTCAGGTCCAAGTAGTTCACCCCCAAGCGTGATACCTCTTCTCTCAACTGCCTCTTCAAACTATCAAAGTTTGCCCTTCTGAAATCTGGGACTTTTGTGGAATTTTCCTTACGGCTGCCCTGAAAATCTAACGGGAATCTAATTTCTTTGTGATTGCTGTTTGCAAGTTCGTTCCCTACCTCGACATTACTAATGAGGCTTTCTCAGTTCGACAGAACTAAATCGAGTATATTATTACCCCGAGTGGGTTCGGTTATATGTTGACTTAGGAAACAGTCCTGGATCGTTTCAAGAAAATCCTCTGATTCTGAGTTACCCGTAAGGTCAATCCAATCTATTTGGCTAAACTTAAAGTCGCCTACTATACAGACTTTGTTGTGTATGGAAGCCCTGCGCATTTCATCCCAAATAAGTCGCTCATTAACTCTATCAAGATTGGGAGGTCTATATATTTCTCCTGTGATTAATTTTTCCCTACTGTCGATTAATTCTATCCAAATTGTTTCTGTATTCCGCTCAGTTTTTATTTCCTTATTTATTTCACACTTCAGATTATCCCTGACATAGATTGCTACTCTGCCTCCTTTCCTAATCTTCAGAGGCAACTGGATTACATGGACAGAGAGAGGCTTAAATATACAGGGTGACCTTATTAAACATGAGGTCAGGTCATAATGATGTCATCCACTAATCCCCACACCAACACCAACACACATGTAGAGAGAGGTCGGGGAAAGTGGGAGTCAAAAAATAAGCAGGTCCTGGGAAGTATAATTGGTTGCTCAGGACAAGGGGTAAAACAGGAGCAGGGAAGGGTAGGTTTAAATGTATAATATACAAACAGTAGGAGCGTTAGAAATAAAATAGACTTGCTGAGAGCTGTTGTATGTACCGAGAATGTAGACGTCATAGCAATCACCGAAACTTGGATGAATCTGGCGAGCAAATTTTTTTTATCAGAGTACCACTTAGAAGGGTACAACCTTTTTCACAAGGACAGGGAAGGTAGGAAGGGGGGAGGGGTCGCACTCTTCGTCAAGGATACATTAAAATGTTGTATTAATAAATCAATAAAGGGTGAAATAGGAACCGAGTCTGTAAGGGTAGAAATCACGGAAGGAAGAGAAAAACTAATTATGGGAGTGATTTACAGGCCCTCAAGTCTTGGGAAAGAAGCAGCTCAGTCCATATGACAGGAAATGAGTAGGTCAGCAAAATATAACAACTTGTGCATTATGGGGGATTTCAACTTCAGAAATATTGACTGGGACAACATTGTAGGTGACTATGAATCTGAAGACTTCCTAGACGCAGTACAGGACAAATTTTTTAAACAACTAATTACAGAAAATACTAGAGGTGACAATATATTAGACCTAGTATTAACAAATAAAGAAAATATTATCAGAGATATCACAGTAGGGCAAGATCTAGGTAACAGTGATCACAGAGAAATCAGGTTCACCCAAAATTGGGAAACGAAAAACAATGACAATATGGACAGAGTACCAAACTTTCGGTTGGAGGATTATCAGGGATTAAGAAGGTACCTAGGTGAGGTCACCTGGGAACAGTCACGTCAGTCCCCCATAGGAAGGGGTGAGGTCATAGATGACACAACAATTGATCATGACTATAATATATTCACTAGTATACTACATAAAGCACAAGAACAAAATATGCCATACAGAAAAATTAGGTCAAATAAGAATGAGCCAAGGTGGATGACCAGAAAACTTAAACAATACATAGGAATAAAGAAAGGAATATATAAGAAATTAAAGGGAGGGGGAGGAGAAGCTCAGAAATAGGTATAATGAACTATCTAGGAATGTTAAGAAAAATGTAAGGAAGGCAAAGAGAGACTATGAAATCAAAATAGCAAGAGAATTCAAGGCGATTCCCAAGGGATTTTTAAAGTCAGGGAGGGGAGAAGTGATAAATGGCAGTGAGGAAATTCCAGAGGTGGAACTGATATTTAGGGGAAAGGAAAAAGAGAAATTAAAGAATATCACTATCAGAAAAGAGGATGTTCTTAAGAGGTTAAATACTAAAGAAGACAAAATCCCCAGGGCGGGATGAAATTTTCCCTCGAGTCTTGATATAGTGTAGGGAACAGATTAGCGGACCCCTCGTAAATTTATTTACAAAATCATTAGACACGGGAGTTGTGCCAGACTTGTGGAAACAGGTAAATGTAGTACCCATATTCAAAAAGGGAGACAGAGCCTCAGCATGAAATTACAGGCAGATGAGTTTGACGTCAGAAGTGGGGAAATTTCTTGAATCAATTATAGCAAATAGCATTCGATCTCATTTAGAGAAGAACAAATTAATCTACGACTCTCAACATGGGTTTACAAAGGGAAAATCTTGTTTAACAATTCTCCTGACGTTTTTTAGGAAAGTCTTCAAGGTAGTAGATAATGACGAAAATTACGATGTTATTTACTTAGACTTTAGCAAACCATTTGACAGAGTACCGCATCAGAGTTTTAAATTGGATAAAATCATGGCTCACAGATAGAACGCAGAGGGTCAGCTGTAAGGGCGGAACGATCTTCCTGCTCGTTACCGCTGCTAACTCTTTCGTTTGCTGGTGCGGACGACCCTTGGGGCGGTTGGACAGAGGTGAGAGCGGCAGCGACTATCTGGGTCAACGGCAGATT